TCTGTTGATGCAGACTCTTGATAATGAGGCTGATACTTGGAGACTTTTTATCATGTTTGGAAGAACATTGTTTTACATTTATTCATTAATACTTTAGTTGGTGGTTTACCTTTAGCTGCAGGCTTATCTGATATTTGGAGGTATCTTCATAAATGATGGCTTTGGTTTTAGAAGAGTTACTCTGAAGCTACTATTTCTGGCAATAATCAAACAGCATGGTGATTTGTTTCATAAGGCCATTCCTAGAATATTATGGTAAAATCTTTGTATGGAAAAAATGCTTATTCTTCCGTCCTCTGTAGTGGAATATGAATCTAGTTTGTCTTCGAAATAAAATCAAGTCATTAAAATGTAGTTTTCTCAGAAGATGAATGGAGTAAAGCACTCTCTGTTTCAACCTGTTGGAAATCACTCATCCATCAGGAAACTGTTCCAACTGATTCTGACTCACATGAAGGAATTAAAATTAAAACAAGAGTTAATAATATTAATTTACCTTTTTAAAGAAACTTTCCCATGCTTTAGATAATAGCTGATAGACGTACAATATGTGTAGAATAGGCTGTTGTCCATACTGGTTTGGCCTGTTTCAAAGCCATATCTAATTTTGTTGCAAAATGGTCTGAATTCTTCAAAAATGTTGAGTTGTATAGTGCGGCGAAGTACTGAGCCATTTACTGAAAGGAATATACCCAAGAAATAATTTGAACTTATTGAGAGATGCATACTACTGACAGGTTCTCCAGATTTAACTATTAGCTCAGGAATAGAGAGGAGGGAAAGAGAGGAGTTAGGACTTTCAGAGTTGCTGCCAAGCCAGGCACGATCTGGTTGACTTACAACATAGGAGAGAATGGGCCAGTGAACTTCAAGGAAGAGGACTATGCATTTGATTCTACTAAGCAGTGCTTATCCTACTATGATAAGCATTGGAAATACAAACTTGAGTAAGACATGGTCTCTGATCTCCAGAAGTGCACAGTATTTTTAGGGAAGACAAGTGAAAATACTTAATAATGATGATAGTGTTGTAAATGCTCTGATGGAGTTATGTGCATGGCATGGAGAGGAGGGCCAGGTGATTGAGCCTGGGAGCACTGGGAAACACTTTCATTTTGTTTTGTTTTATTTTGTTTTTGTTTTTTTAGATGAGGTCTTGCTAGGTTGACTGGGCCGATCTCAAACTCCTGGATTCAAGCTTGCCTCCAACCTCGGCTTTTCAGAGTGCACAGGCGTTAGCCACTGTGCGTGGCCAACGGGAACACATGTTTGGGCAGCTGCTACTTGCATTGAATATTGAAGGAAGAATGGTACACAAAGGGAGATGGGGAATGTCAAGCAGAAGACTGTCAGGCAGGGTCTCTGCAGGGAGGTGATGAGCGAAAGACTGTCAGGCAGGGTCTCTGCAGGGAGGTGATGAGCGATAAGGCTGGGAAAGCAGCAGGGACCAGAGGGAAATCTGAGTCACAAAAATCAGATCTGCATTTTAGCAAGTTCATGTTTTGCACTGTAGTAGAGAAAGGGCTGGAGTTGTCCAGGTTCAAAGCTGGGAGACAGGGAGCCTTGGGGAGAAATGACGAGATCCTGAGATAAGGCAGCAGTGGTGGGAACAGAATGGAAGGGAGGTAGTTGAGGTATGTTCAAAGTAGAATCAAAATGGACATGGTGACCAACTGGATGTGGGTGTGATCTGAGGAAGCAAAGTTTAGGATAATTCTGAGACTTCTAGGCTGACCCACTGAAGTAACATTATTCAACACCACAAGGAAACCAGGGGAATGAGAAGTTATATTGGTTTGCTTTGGAGTGGAAGGGTGGTAATATAAGAGGAATTAATGAATTAAAGTTTGGATATGCCTTAACTTTAATTTGATATGTGCATTTGATATAACCTTGGGTGACCCTCCAGTCAGTGGTTGAACATGTGTGTTTCTTAGTAACTGATAGACATCACAGACTCACATCGGTAAGAAAACAGCAAGCTTGATTGAATGGATATACCTGGAACACAGTACCCTACACTGGAGCAAGTCTCTCCCAGTGAAATGAGGATAAGAAGAACTTTGACCTTGTGGAATATGTTGTTAGGAATATATGTGATAAACAACTTAGGATACTTCCTAGAGAGTTTCATGTATAGTAGGAGCTTGATAAATATTATTGTTGAAATTTATTTCCAAGGTAAGATGCCGTTGGAGGAATCTTTGGAATCCAAGTTAAAAATAAATAGGGCTGGATGCAATGGCTCACACCTGTAATCCCAGCACTTTGGAAGGCAAAGGCAGGAGGCTCTCTTGAGCCCAGGAATTCAAGACCAGCCTGGGTGATATAGTGAGACCTTGTCTCTATGAAAAACAAACAAAATTAACCAGATGTGGCGGTGTGCACCTATAGTCCCTGCTGCTTGAGAGGCTGAGGTGGGAGGATTGCTTGAGCCCATGAGTTTGAGGCTGCAGTGAGCCACACTTGTGCCACCACACTCCAGCCTGGGTGACAGAGTGAAACTATCTTTAAAAATAATAATAACAATAAAATAAGTAATTAAAAAAATACAAACCAGCAAACACTAATCCTTTCTAAGAATTATTGCACTCTGGAGGGCAGATCTGAATGAAGCTCCCAGAGATGGCTGAAGGTCCTGTGGAGACCAGCCTGGCCCTGGGCAGGACCAGGCAAGATCAACGAGGAGGAGGTAATGGGACTGAACAGGGTTGAAGCCATGCAGTTGGCTCCATGGAGTTGAAGACTCCATGAAGATCTAGACTAATTTTTTTTTTTACATGAGGGGTACAGTGGTTCTAGGAATTTAAGTGAGAACAGGGTTAATGAAGGAGTGCAGGGTGGGAGAGCTGAGTGAAGGGATCCGAGAGGGCCTGACTTATGAACCGCTGCATCGCATGGCTCACTTGCCTTCCCCTGTATCTACTTAGCAAAGGACCCTACCCCAGGCCTCCAGGGCCAAGGTCATTTCTGTATAGTCATGGGCCCTGGAGGGCCTGTAAGGGAGACAGTCTTAAGAGATTGCATTAACAGTCATGCTTGGCAAGTATCATTATCCTATCCCGAGCCTGATCTGAAGGGGTACGTGCTCATAGGCAGCTGCTGCCCGAGATTACAGCAGCTCTTCAATCCCCAGATCCCTGCTCTCCTATATTTGTTTTCCCAGGGCTTCCTGTCCTTTGACAGCAGTGAGATGCAGAATGACTTATTGAATTATTCTCCTGATAGTTTCCAACTTTTCCAAATGACAGTGGGGCATGGGGCTTGGGAATGGGAATGAGGCCCTAGGGATAGCATGCTTAGGAAAATGCTCCCAGCCTGATGTAATTCAGGGGTGACAATGGCATTTGATCATCAAGACTGATGTAAAGGATGACTAGCAGTGAGTTGGGAGTGACTCACACTGGGGCTGGGTTTCTGATTCTGCCTAATCCAGGCAGAGCAGAAGCAATAATGGGCTGGTGGAGGGCCTCCAGGGCTCCACTTAGGTCCCAGAAAAATGGCTCCAGATTGTTGGTTCACATTCTAAGGAGAAGTTTGGGGACCATAGGATAGAGAGAGTGGCAGGAGATGCCATGGCACCCACTCCGATGCCTGCCCTGCCATCTCCCCAGGTGACGTCTCTGGGGCATCTTGGCAAGTATAATTATCCTATCCCGAGCCTTCCCTCCCCAGAACTGTAGTTCAGCTGAGGGCATGTGGAGGCCAAAAGACTTCTTAGAGTGTTACTTTCCTTGAAGATCTCTGCTGAGCGAACTGGAGGAGCTGGGTATTCACTGAGGTAACTGCACAGTCAAAGGATCATCCTGGTGGAGAGGTGTGGAAAGGTGGGGAAAAAGCGTATAGCGTTTTCCTTGGAAATGTATGGACGTGTCTTAGAGGAAATACTCCAATTCTGGAACCTTGAGCCCTCCAGGAAATGTTGGAATACTGGGTTAGTCATCCCCAAGGAAGACTAAGAATTCTGGGATCACCCATCTCCTTTAATTCCCACAACAATTCTACATAATATTAAGGAACACAGGCCAGTAACCCTCCAAGCAATGGATGTGGTAGCAAAGTATGACCTCATGGTGAAGAGGAGGTTGGTTCAAAACCTAAGAATTTAATTTATTGTTTCAAAGTGTTCTCCACTCAGTGTTATTAAGGTATATGTAACTGACACATAAAAATTGTGGCTGGGCACGGTGGCTCATGCCTGTAATCCCAGCACTTTGGGAGGCCAAGGCGGGTGGATCATGAGGTCAAGAGCTCAAGACCATCCTGGTCAACATGGTGAAACCCCGTCTCTACTAAGAATACAAAAATTAGCTGGGCATGGTGGCGTGTGCCTGTAAGCCCAGCTTCTCAGGAGGCTGAGGCAGGAGAATTGCTTGAACTCAGGAGGCGGATGTTGCGGTGAGCCGAGATCGCACCATTGCACTCCAGCCTGGGTAACAAGAGAGAAACTCCGTCTCAAAAAAAAAAATTGTATATGTCTACGATGCACAATGTGATGTTTCGGTCTATGTGTACATTGTGAAATGACTACATCAAACTGCATAACATACCCATTCATAGCACTTTGAAGGAACGAAACTCAGGTACAAAGGAGAGGTGCTGTTGAAGGGTAGGGCTGCTCTATCTAAGTAGTATGTCTGGGGGTGTCCTGGATCAGGGTCCTTTTGTGCTAGTAATAAACTCGCCCTTCTGGGGCTGCTCCACTTTCCCCACTTTTTTTTTCTGGGGCCTCCTTAAGAATTAGGACATGGCCACTTTCTTTGAATAGGCTTCTTACTTCAACTCTTTACGGACAAGGGCCTGTGCCGCCCCATGCCACCTCAGTGTCCCCACAGCACAGAGCTGAGTGCACACTGGCTGAGTGAGGAAATCCCCTTGGATTAATCTTGGTTCTAAGCATCATGGCTGAATCTCACATGTGTATGAATGACAGCATAGCTGAATAAGGATTTTTGTGCTACAACTGGAATCCCTGATTATGCAAATTCAGTATACTGAAATTCCTAGGACTTTTTATTAGATTTAAAAAAGTTATACAAGCTTAGAGTAAGAAATGAAACAGTGCAAGAGAGTTCATTGTGAAAAGTAAAATGCTCTGCCTCTGCTGAGAGACAGATACTGCAGCTCAGATACTACCACCATCAATAGTTTTCCGTAAGCATACCGTTTTGATGGTTTATGGAACTTACCGCTCAGGAAGCTTGACACTAGGGTTGATCTCAGAAAATCACTGTTGCAGATCATAGGCATGACCGTCTCACAAAGATATGGACACAGATATGATGACTGGAGATGTCCAGGGGGGCTCATGGGCTGCCTGTCCTTTTTGCTCTGTGCCCAAGTTGGGCTCAGAATAGCCTGGCATTGGCTGTGGGGAGAATACTGGCGGGGGTTAGCAAGACCCCAGTTCATACTGTCCTAAGCCACCTGAAAGCGTCTTTCAAGGAAACCAGACTCCAGAGGTTCTGAGGAAGGAAGGACTTTTGACTGTTTTTAGGTTTTCTAGTCCCAGAGTTTAGGGAGGAATGGTTTGGCTTTGGGCCATGTGCCCCTTTACTGAGAGGGAGGGGTTGTGCCCACAAGCCATTAAACTGGCTATAGGAGAAGAGAGCAAGGCCAGGAGCGAGAGGCCAGGAAGCTGTGGGGTTGTAGGCCATCCCAGCAGAGGGCCTGGGTGTCAAAAGTGGTAGTGATGGTGGAGGCCGAGGTAGAAGAAAATCAGAGGACTACAAACCCCATGGCTGCTGGTGACCTGACCAAGCTCCTACGTTCTCCTCGTTCATTTGAGGCTCTGTTGCAGCAGATGATCGGCTGGTGTGAGAGAACTGCACCTGCCGTATCAGGCAAGCAAGGGCGAGTCTGAGCTATGTTGGCAGAAAACCCGAAGGCAGCAGCAGGTAGACTGGCTGAAGGCAGGCAGGCAGCTAGCTTGTCAATCAGATTTGTGTTTTTGAGGACTCCCAACTGGGGAGCCCTCCATGATAGATGAACTGAGAGAGGAATCTGGTAGCATCAGGCTACCAGAGGGTCCCGTTGGTGCTTGGATCTTCTTGCAGTTGGGTCTGAGGTGTGCTGGTAGAGGTGAGCTGGTCAGAAGGGTCTGTCGCAGAGCTAACCAATGCCTTCCCAGGAATGCAAACACAAGCGCCCCCCTGCAGGCAGGCAAGCAGGCAGGCAGGCAGGCAGGCAGGCAGGCAGGCAGGCAGGCAGGCACTTCTTTTACCACCAGGACCTCATAGAGGCTGACCTGGCTCTGTGAGGTAGGAAAATGGGTTGAACTTAGCACATAAGAGAGAAAGAGCTTAGGATGACCATCTGTCCTGTGACCCTGTCCCCAGACCACAGGTGGTGACAGGTGCTTCTATTCCAAGGCTGGGCCTCAGTGCAGGCTTGTGGTTTCTTGCCCAACTGTGGTGTCCTTCAACTAATGAAGGGGCTCTCCATCCTCTCTGCCTCTAGCAAGTGGAGACTCTGGGCCCTGGGAAAGATACAGGGGGAAAATGCCATCTATTATCTAAACATATTTCACTGGGACAGGTAAGGGCTCTTTATGTCATCTGACCCCCTTCCCCATTTACTGGCCTTGTACCCAAAGTTGGACATGCTGTAGAGAGAGGGAGGCTGAGGGGCAGACTCAGGAGAGAAACCTGCCAAGGGGACCCAGACAACCAGGCTGACCAGAGCAATGCTTGGCCTGATTCACGGCCCATGTCTTATATCTTAGGTGTGTTGAATCATCTCTGTTGAATCTTACTTAAAGAAAACAAACAAACAAACAAACAATAACTGTTTCCTATGACAGAAGGAGCCTCAGGTTTGTTATTTTCTTTCTTTTTTTTTTTTTTAAATTTTTTATTGGATTTTAGGTTTTGGGGTACATGAGCAGAGCATGTAAGACAGTTGCGTAGGTACACACATGGCAGTGTGCTTTTCTTTCCTTCTCCCCTTCACCCACATTTGGCATTTCTCCCCAGGCTATCCCTCCCCACCTCCCCCTCCCACTGGCCCTCCCCTTTTCCCCCCAATAGACCCCAGTGTTTAGTACTCCCCTTTCTGTGTCCATGTGTTCTCATTTTTCATCACCCACCTATGAGTGAGAATATGCGGTGTTTCATTTTCTGTTCTTGTGTCACTTTGCTGAGGATGATGTTCTCCAGATTCATCCATGTCCCTACAAACGACACAAACTCATCATTTCTGATTGCTGCATAATATTCCATGGTGTATATGTGCCACATTTTTCCAATCCAGTCTATTATCAATGGGCATTTTTGTTGATTCCAGGTCTTTACTATTGTAAACAGTGCTGCAATGAACATTCGTGTACATGTGTCCTTATAGTAGAACGATTTATAGTCTTTTGGATATATACCCAGTAATGGGATTGCTGGGTCAAATGGAATTTCTATTTCTAAGGCCTTGAGGAATCGCCACACTGTCTTCCACAATGGTTGAACTAATTTACACTCCCACCAACAGTGTAAAAGTGTTCCTTTTTCTCCACATCCTCTCCAGCATCTGTTGTCTCCAGATTTTTTAATGATCGCCATTCTAACTGGCGTGAGATGGTATCTCAATGTGGTTTTGATTTGCATCTCTCTGATGAGCAGTGACGATGAGCATTTTTTCATATGATTGTTGGCCTCATATATGTCTTCTTTCGTAAAGTGTCTGTTCATATCCTTTGCCCACTTTTGAATGGGCTTGTTTGTTTTTTTCCTGTAAATCCGTTTGAGTTCTTTGTAATTTCTGGATATCAGCCCTTTGTCAGATGGGTAGACTGCGAAAATTTTTTCCCATTCTGTTGGTTGCCGATCCACTCTAGTGACTGTTTCTTTTGCTGTGCAGAAGCTGTGGAGTTTCATTAGGTCCCATTTGTCTATTTTGGCTTTTGTTGCCAATGCTTTTGGTGTTTTGTTCATAAAGTCCTTGCCTACTCCTATGTCCTGGATAGTTTTGCCTAGATTTCCTTCTAGGGTTTTTATGGTGCCAGGTCTTATGTTTAAGTCTTTAATCCATCTGGAGTTAATTTTAGTGTAAGGTGTCAGGAAGGGGTCCAGTTTCTGCTTTCTGCACATGGCTAGCCAGTTTTCCCAACACCATTTGTTAAACAGGGAATCCTTTCCCCCTTGCTTGTTTTTGTCAGGTTTATCAAAGATTGTATAGTTGTAGATATGTTGTGTTGCCTCCGGTGCCTCTGTTTTGTTCCATTGGTCTATATCTCTGTTTTGGTACCGTGCTGTTTTGATTACTGTAGCCTTGTAGTATAGTTTGAAATCCGGTAGTGTGATGCCCTCCACTGTGTTCTTTTTGCTTAGAATTGACTTGGCTATGCGGGCTCTCTTTTGGTTCCATATGAAGTTCATGGTGGTTTTTTCCAGTTCTGTGAAGAAAGTCAGTGATAGCTTGATGGGGATAGCGTTGATTCTGTAAATTACTTTGGGCAGTATAGCCATTTTCACGATATTAATTCTTCCTAACCATGAACATGGAATGTTTCTCCATCTGTTTGTGTCCTCTCTGATTTCATTGAGCAGTGGTTTGTAGTTCTCCTTGAAGAGGTCCCTTACGTTCCTTGTGAGTTGTATTCCAAGGTATTTTATTCTTTTTGTAGCAATTGTGAATGGCAGTTCGTTCTTGATTTGGCTTTCTTTAAGTCTGTTATTGGTGTAGACGAATGCTTGTGATTTTTGCACATTGATTTTATATCCTGAGACTTTGCTGAAGTTGCTTATCAGTTTCAGGAGTTTTTGGGCTGAGGTGATGGGGTCTTCTAGGTATACTATCATGTCGTCTGCAAATAGAGACAATTTGGCTTCCACCTTTCCTATTTGAATACCCTTTATTTCTTTTTCTTGCCTGATTGCTCTGGCTAGAACTTCCAGAACTATATTGAATAGGAGTGGTGAAAGAGGGCATCCTTGTCTAGTGCCAGATTTCAAAGGGAATGCTTCCAGTTTTTGCCCATTCAGTATGATATTGGCTGTTGGTTTGTCATAAATAGCTTTTATTACTTTGAGATACATTCCATCGATACCGAGTTTATTGAGGGTTTTTAGCATAAAGGGCTGTTGAATTTTGTCAAATGCCTTCTCTGCGTCAATTGAGATAATCATGTGTTTTTTGTTTTTGGTTCTGTTTATGTGGTGAATTACGTTTATAGACTTGCGTATGTTGAACCAGCCTTGCATCCCCGGGATGAATCCTACTTGATCATGGTGAATAAGTTTTTTGATTTGCTGTTGCATTCGGCTTGCCAATATTTTATTGAAGATTTTTGCATCTATGTTCATCATGGATATTGGCCTGAAGTTTTCTTTTCTTGTTGGGTCTCTGCTGGGTTTTGGTATCAGGATGATGTTGGTCTCGTAAAATGATTTGGGAAGTATTCCCTCTTTTTGGATTGTTTAGGTTTGTTATTTTCAGTTAATGCAAAGTGAATAAGAGGGGCGAGGAGTTCAAGTTGATCATCCAGGAGGAAGGACTGAGGCAGACACCAGAGCGGGGCCTCATTCCCACAGTTAAGGGTGCAGCATCCTAGTCTTTAGGCAGAGAGTGCTTCCCATCATGGCCTGGGCCCCAGTACCCCTCACATGCTTGGTGCTTCTGGGGAGGCTTGGGAAGGGGTGTGGAGGCTTACTGTCTGATCTTGGGGAGCTCGTGTCCTGTTGAGATAGAGGACGTGCACACATCCGCCTGCACACCAGGAACTTCCAAACATGGCTGCTTAACAGACTCCAGAGACATTTCCAAGTGAGAAGTGCAAGAATATGGAAGCAGGGACTCAAGTAGGAACCATGGAGGTCAGGGCATCCATGAAGGAGTAGACCTGACGGAAGATTGAAGGAAAAGCACCACTTGTTTTGTATCCAAAACAAAGCCAGTGCCTGTGGTTTCTCGTGGTACTACTGGAGAAAAGGTCAGGGCTGAGCTCTTGGGCTCCCTAGGTGTGACGTTTTCAGGACTGAAACCTTTGCCTCCAACAGTCTCTTGGCGCCAGAGGCTGTTTTGTTCTTGCTTCCTTAGTTAAGCTGCAGTGGTAACATGCCAACACACAGGAAATCATGTCAGGAGGGCCGCTGCCACCTAGGAGGGACCCACCTGACTGCTGCAAACGGCGAGCTGGAAATCATTTACTCCATTATAACTTAAATGGCCACACAGGAAGTCCCGTTTATCTAAGGAAAGAGGAAAACCTGTGGGTTTTTTTTTTAATGTGTGTGTATGTGTTGCTAAAGTAGAAGTTTCAACAATCAAAACATACACAATAAACATTTTATTGGTTTGATTCATTTAGAGGCTTCTGGGGCTAGTTTTGAACATTAGGGAATAGAATCATTTGATCATTTGAATTTACCAAAAATGTGGATATTTCTAAAGTAGCAGAAATAAAGGACTTCAGTATTGGAAGGGGTCTCAGTTGCTCCCTCTCTATAGACCGGGAAGGGCATCAAGACAGATGGTGTGACTTGCCCAGAACCACTCAGCCAGGCACGAAGGGAAGCTGGGTCTGACTCACCACCACTCACAGCTGGTCTTTGCATTTCATAATGCTTTACTACTGACAAAGTTTTTCGTATGCCTTATCTCATTTGATTCATACATGTTATAGCTATGGATAACTAGTCCTTGATTCCTCCTCAAAACATCACAAGCATCCTGTTGTATTCAGATGAACCTAGCCTTTCCCTTCACCCATGTCCAACGTGTAAATGCTGCGCCATGCCCATTAAAGGCCTCCCTGGACTGACTGGTGACGTGAAGCAGACAATAGCAGTTACTGTGGATCACACATCTTCTGTGTGACAAGCACGCTATCAGCTATTTCATATTTATTATTTTATTTTCTCCTTACGGCATCACTAAGCACTGGTGATTATCATCCTTCCCTCTTTGCAGGGGCATGAATAAGGCTTAGAGGAGCGAAGTAACTTGCTCTTTAGGTTCTTGGAAACTGACTCTAAGTGAAACAATGTGCAGCAGGTCCTCGAATAATGTCATTTTGTTCAATGTTATTTGTTTTGTTTTACGTCATTTTGTTTAAAATGGTGGTTTCCAAGAACTTAACGACGACATTAATAGGTTCTTAGATGCCAATGTTATTTCCATGTCAGAAGTGCAAGAATATGAAGCAAAGACTC